ATATATATATATATATATATATATATATATATATATTTGAATTAAACAATAAGAATCACTTCTGAAGAGGTAAGAAAGATTAACTCATCCATGGCTCATATGACAATGGTAAAAATAATGACATCATGATAAAATTTTAGTATTTTTATAGTTGACTTTTAAAATAGCCAACCATAGATATATCTCTTTAAGAGGCATGATGAATCTCTCTTTTGGGTATAAACAGTGCCATCAGACATGTTTAAAAGTAAACACATGAACTGTCAGACACAACTTAAAAACATAAGACATTAAAAATTAAAAAAATTTTTTTCATCCCTTCAAAACTTGATAAAGGCCCAAGGAAGAGAAAAAATTCTTTCTCCGTGTCTTTCACCACTCCCTGCCAATGGCCCTGGATGTTAAGGGCAAGGAATTCACTCATTCTTTGGCTGTGAATACCTTATGGAATCTCAGAATCTCAGATTTCTCCATGTAAAACAAGGATGCTGACCCATATAAGCTCCAAAATCCTTGTAACACTTTACAGTCCCTCCTTTCTAGTTGAAAAATAATGATGAGTAGACTCACCAAACTCACTGAAGTAACTACCTTACTTTTAGGTTTATGTTTCTCTGAAAATAGCGCCGGAATACCCAGAAAAAGCAGATTGAAAGGCAGGAAGAATGCAGAATCCAGTGTACAACACATACCATGTACACCCATATCCTGTTTGGGATTCAATTCTGCCAGTCTCCTCAGAGTTCAGACACTGATGTGTGTTAAGAATGTTCACACAGAGCAAGTGTGTACAATGATTACCTTTTCATCTGGAGGTGGAATATAAATAATCTTATCTATTCTTCCAGGCCGTAACAAGGCATCATCTAACACATCAGGTCTATTTGTTGCTGCAACAATCATGACATTTCGATTAAAAACTTCTTCAAACTCTACCTGAAGAAACACAACACGAAATAAAGTTAATTATTCAATGTATTTTTTTTAAATTACAAATCAGAAGGATCATTTGTTTTTAAATAGGGGTATCTTTTTCTTGGGACTGGGATGCTTATACCTCCTATCCAGACTAGCTTCTCGTTATCAAGGTACCCCAGAAACAAATGATTGATCCAAGAGCTACTTGTACACATGAGGAAGGGGGTGGCCAACCATGAGGGAACATCTCTCCATGAAAAGTCTTACTTCATAGCAGGAAACATCTACCTGGTATCGGAGGGCACCTGAGCATCAGCGAATGTTTACATTTAAATAGATGACTTAAAAGGACAGACGCATATGACAAACACATGGAGACGTGTGGTTATGAAAAAGCTGTGGCTCTCATCCTTGAAGAGGGAGATTTACTTTACTTTTTAATTTTCTTTCCAGAGGCAGAAATATGACCACCCTTATAAGCTGCAAGTATATAAATCCTGGATACAAATAAGAAATACCTAAAAGCAGCCAGGCCGTAGCCTTACACACTAAGCATGTAAAATGATGTGTTGAACTAAATAATCAGAGTAGTTCAACACTAATGTGATCTCTCAAAGCAGTGAGTTCCCTATATTTGCAAGTATTTTAGCTGAGGCTGGATAAACACACCTATAAGACACTATACAATAATTCATGCACTATGAAATCTGATGAGAACATTTCATGTGGCATATGGCCTAAGGAGCTATAAGTGACTCTCTTTCTATGGGACAGTTTTAAAAATGGAAAATAAGTAATAACAAGAAAAGAATAAAAGACAAGAAAAATTATCTGTCAGGGATTATTTGATTATTTATTACATCAACCTCTATCTGGGGAAGACTCGGAAGGGAGAAAGGTCATTTTAACTCCATTATAACCAAGGAAACCCCTTCCTCAAGGAAAAAAAGTTTTCAATTACTACGATTATTGGGGGGGAAAATCCGCTTTAACAAAAATAAATTTAGAAAGGGATTGACACTCGGTCATTAGGATATATATAGATATATAAAAAGAAAATCCCTTCTCCATTAGCAATATGTAAAGTTATATTTCTAAATCTTAGAATAAAATTCACATTCATATATAGCTGTTATCAAATTTACCTCACCTTTGCCAGCCAAAACACAAGTTTACCAGCTTTGTAAATATCCTAACAGAGCCTAATGGAAGGAATATAATTCCGCCTCTGAGATGAAGCCAGCTCAGGACAAGCTAGTGTAGGTCTGTTTAATGTGGGCCTGAAGTTTTGGTGGAATCTGGCTAATAAATACCTCTTCATTTTTTTTCAGCTCCTTGTATTTCCCCTGTTGATCTGATTTACTTCCTCTTCTCTCGATAGTTTTCAGTCCAACACCATCCAATTCATTCAGAAGAACAGAAAGAACACTCTCTTGAACATTACATCCTGTTTGGCTGACTGATCGAGAACCCAAAATTGAATCAATTTCATCCAAAAACACAATTGCTGGAGTGTTTGCTCTTGCTTGTCGAAATACCTTTTGTTAGGAAAATAAAAATATTAAAAAGCTATATATGATGCCTTACCTAGATGAATGTGTTTTCTACATTACTATTTTTACAATGTAAAAAGAAGAGAAAGATTCTAAATGCCTAAAAATTGGGGAACAAATAAATAAATGAATATTATGTAAGGGTTAAAAATCATGTTTTCAAATAATTTTTAATATTATGGAATTTTAAAAGTGATGTTACATTAAAAAAGATCACAATAAAGATACACATATATCTCCTGCCCAAGCAAATAAAAAGACAAAAGAAATTCACTAAAATGTTAATGTAGGTGGAGGGGTTATGAAGTATTTCTTATTTATATTTTTCTATATTTTCTAAATTTTCTATAAACAAATACATAACTTTTCTAAATTATAATAATAAAAGCATAATATGCTAATTAGACTAGACAGCTGATCGACCTTCTGGACAAAGCCAGGGCTGCGAGGGCCGAGCTCCTCACACGAATTTCGTGCATCAGGCCTCTAGTAATGAATAAAAAGCCTGTTACATTTTTAAAAAGGTTTATCCTTAAGGCATGAAATGAAAATTCAAAAGTAAACTTAACTACGTGGAGAAAATAAACCAACAAACCTGAGACAAGAGTTTTTCTGAATCTCCAACGAAAGGTGAAAAGAGATCAGCTCCACTCACTGAAACAAAGGAGCAATGACAGCTGGTGGCCAGGGCCCTCACGAGGGTGGTCTTAGCACACCCAGGGGGGCCGCACAGGAGAACTCCCTTGGGCTGTGTCAGGCCCATCCTAACAAATTCACGAGGGTGTTTCAGAGGCCATTCGATGCTCTAAGTATACAAAAAGAGACAGTCATTTTAGTGTAACAATAAAACATCACATAATTCAGTAAATGCATCTATTCCTTCAACAATTCTCAGGTACCCATACTCAGCAGCTGGGGATCTTATAACCTAAGTCAGGTCACATCACTGCCTTCTTAAAGTCCTTCAACGACTTGCCATCAGAATTAGAATACACTCCGATCCACACTCCTTACCTACCACTGCTTACAAGGCCTTACATAACCTGACTATCACCCTAACACCAGTTCATTCCCACCCCAGGGCCTTAGCCTGTTATTCTCTCTGCCTGTACTCTCCCTCAGGTCTTTGTGTGGACACCCCTCATCATTCAGGTCTCAGCTCAAATGTCCTTTCCTTGGAGAGGTCTTCCCTGACCACCAGAGTTAAAGCAGACCCTCCTCCTCCTAGTCATTCTATGCTATTGCCCTCCTTTCCTTTTGGAGCACTTATTCGTGCACTATCTTGAGTTATTATTTTTCCATGTTTGGTTTGTCATTCTGCTCCTGCTACATTATAAGCCAATTTCACCTCTAAATCCCCAGCACCTAGAATGACACCTTCACAAAGTAGGCACTCAATAAATGTTAACTGGAGAGTAAATAAAGGTTCACTACCCTTTAGGTAGATAGTTTTATCATCATAATTTTACAGATGTTGAAACCCAGGCTTAAAAAAGTTAAGTAACTTTCTCAGAGTTGATTGCTAATGAGGCAGAACTGAGACTGACCCTAGGCAGTGCAGACCAAGGGCAGAAGCTTTTAACTACTGATAGATTTTAACTACTGATAGATTTTAACTACTGATATATAAGACAAGACCTCTGTACCTAGGCCTCATGCTTGTAAACTAACAACCAGGCCAGAGAAGGCCATGGAGAAGAAACAGTACATACAGAGAGACACGAAACCAACTAATTCATCTCGCCAACAGTAAGCAGGAACAGAGGGGAGGATGGGAGGAGCAATAAGGAGCAATAGAGTTGACATGGAAGGAGAAGTCAGATCACCATGGGCCTTGAAAGTTTTAGGCAACACTGAGGAAGCAGTAATGACAAGGGACTGGAAGGAAATGAAACTAGAGGCAGGGAAACCAATTAAAATTCTCCTGCATTAATTCAGACTACAAAAATAACAAGGCTGGATGTGTCACAGGAAGTGGAGATGGTGGGGAAGGGATGGATTTAAAACATAAAATGTAACTGTATTTTACACAGGGACTAAGTTCTAAATCCAGAGGGGAGGTATGTGCATGTATGACATGACCATTTAGAAGACAGGTTTCTGACTTGGGGATGGGGTGGCTGGCTGTCTTCACTGAGCTAGGAAATTCAGGTGTGGAGGTGGAATTGATGAGCTGAACTTTGAACAAGCTACGTCTGAGATCCCTGGAAGTTATCTGGTAGGCAGGCAGCTAAGTACTTGATAATCAAAATAACCGTCTGCAGGATATAAAGATTTTTGAGTTAACAGTTTTCAGGGGACAGTTGGAGCTTTGGACTTCGAGATCACAAACTCACTCACAGAATGCAAAAAGAGGACTCTCAGGAGCTTGGAGCACTGACATTGAAGGTACGGGAAAGGAGTGTTCAGGAAGGCAGGAGAGCTTAACATCTCAAAGCTGAAGAGTTTTCAACAGGAAGGAATGGCTGATCTCTCACATATTTTGTGAAGATTAACAATGATGATCAAAATGGGGCATATTACAAATGTGTTTATCCATCGACTCTGTAGATCCATAGCTCCTAGTTAAGATGAGTAATAATGGATACTTATACTGGTAAGTCAGGCTTTGTATGTGTAGAGAAACCTAGTTCCTTATGGCAGGATCACCAGAAGGTAAACTGGCAAAATCCATTTCTGAACCTGCAATGCAGGCAAGAGGGTCTGGAGAGCTGTGACCCTCAACACATCCACTGTGAGAACCAGATCAAGTAGCCCTCCAGGCCATACTGATTGTTTACTATAATGTTGTGCTTTTACTAGTCCCTGGGAAAAGTGAGGTCCACCACCTATGTATTTGTACAGCCCACGAACTAAATCATTTTTATATTTTTTAATGCTTGGAAAATAAATCAAAAGAATATTTTATGATGTGAAAATTGTATTTCAGTGTCCATAAATAAAGTTTCGACAGAACACAAGTACTCATTATGCATTGCCTGTGGCTGCTTTTGTGCTATGATGGCAGTTGAGTGGCTGCAACACAGACTATATGGCCCACAATATTTACAGAAAAAGTTTGCTGACCCCTGTTCTAGATTATAAACTCTTTAAAGAAAAAAAACAATAAGAGGGTGAGGTAGCAAAATATGAAACATACTATTTGATGCCTATACAAGTCCAATTAAATAAGGACTGAAAAGTGATCACTGGATTTAAATGTGAGGATCAAAATAGTGATGGTGGCAAGAGCCATTTCGACATAGCGTGTTTTCATCATAAAGACATTACATGTAAGCTGTAATTTCTACTGGCTTCAGCAGATTCTCCATCTCACCTGTTTTAACTTCAGTTTTACATCTTCAAGGCCACCAATCTCTTCCCAGCTAACAGGCTTGATGTCCATCAGTCCAATGACACTTCGAAATGATGAAGGTTGAATCTTTTTAAAAGCTTCAAGGAAGTCTGTTTCATCAATCATCGGACTGTCCTGGTTCTGAAGAAAAGCACTCAAAAAAAAGCACAATCAAACCAAAAGTGAGGTGAGATTTTTGGAATAATTACGTTTTTGATCTTCTTTTGAATTTTATAAAGAAATTTATATATACGGTACAAAAAAACTAGAACCTCTCCCCCCAACCAATCATCCCTGAGGATGTCAAGCTTCCTGTGTATTCCTAGTAGGTTTTATAATAATAAGTATATCCTTTCAAACAGATAACACAAATGGGAGACCACACCACACATATTTGTACTTTTTTTAAAACTTAGAAATCTTTTCATGTCAACTAACAGAACTCTACCTCACTCCTTTTTTTCTACCTCACTTCTACATATCAAGTATTTTCTGTAATTTCCTCAAAGCACAATGACAGGGTTTAAGAGTGTGTGTACATTTATAGTTGTGACAGCTATTACCAGACTGTCCTCAAAGCTGCACCAATGAATACTTAGCTGCTGTTCTCCCCATATTTCTCCGGCACTGGACATTACCAAACATGTAAATTTCTCCCAATGTGACAGAGGAAATGAGACTCAGAATTGTGCTAATTAAATTTAACTAGAAAATCACTTTTTGGAACCATCACAGTAAAGGCTTCTTTGAGGAAGAACGGAGTCTAATCTAGGGGAGGGAAAGTTCTGATGAAGAGCAGGGTATCTGCATGATCTCAAAGGGTCTCCTCATAGATGTGTTAGTTGCAAAGGGAAATATAGCAGCTATATAGTGAGACACTGGACAGAACCTGGACTGGATGATCACATCAGTCACTACTTAGTGGTATCACCAATGAGGGATGGTGGGAATCTTCCGCTGCCCTAAGAAGAACACACTATGTCGTAAGGTAGTATTCCCAGCAGGCATGCATAACCTGAATCTATGAAGCAACATTAGGCAAACCCAAACTGAGAGACATTCTGTAACATCACTGACCCGCATCCTTAAAAAATGTCAATGTCAAATATCTCACTCACAAAATAAAAGGCCATGGAGGAGTTCAAGACTAAAAGTAAGTAAAAACTAAGTGTAATATATTATTCTGAACTAAATTTTCTACTGAAGAAAAAAAATGCTAAAAATATTGAAACCATTACCAAAATCAGCATGTGGACTGTAGAATTGATAACATTTTGTATCAATATTAAATTTCCAGAATATAATGACTATACTTAACCATACTATAGTCATGTATGAAAATACTTTTGTTGTCAGGAAACAGACATTCAAATATTAAGGGATAATGGTTATGATGTATGCAACCCAACCTCAAATGATTCAGAAAAAATACATACACACAGAGAGAGAAAATGATAAAGCTAATTAGGTAAAATGTTAAAAACTGGTGGATTTGGATAAAAGATTTAGCAGAAGTTACCTGTCTTGCAACTCTCCCTAAAATTATATTTATTTCAAAATAGAAAGTTAAGAACTGAAAGAGACTAATCTTTAAAGAGAATTTTTCATGTTTCTTGGCCGTTTGTAATCCTGTTCATACCTTATTACTTATTTTCTCCTAGACTGTTTCTCTATCATTTCATTTTTGGCTATTAGGTTTTATGTTATCCTAAGAAAGTCCATATTTACTCTAAGATTATATTTCGAAGAGCAATTTCCTTAATCATTCTAGTGAAGCAAGTTTTTTGTTAGAGTTAAAAACTCATATTTCTATTTGTAATATCTGTATTTTTTTAAAGTATTTGCCCTTATATCAAATTCTAAACATTTACTTGTCCAAAAATTCCCATTTTCAATAACTATTTTATCCCATTTATGTAAGATTATGTAAATTAATATATATGTATAGAGCAATTCTGAACAGTATTCCTTAAAAAATGTCAATAATTATAATCTCTGGGAAAGATTTTAGGCAATCTTTACTTTCTTTACAATTTTTTATCTTGTTTAATTTCTTATAAAGAACACTATTAAATAATTTTTAACTGGTTGGCAGTGTTAGATGCTGGGTACCTGAATACTAATGTTTAGATAACACCTACATTATTTCACTTGCTTCTCATAATCCTCTCAGGCAAATAAAATTCTTTTCCCTCTGTATGCAAATGTGCATGTATTAAACTGTATTTCTCATCTTTTAGTAAGAACTTCAACGTGAACAACTTTAATGTGTCCCATGTCTACCCTGGCACAGACAGAGGCAGTACCAGCCCCTCGGCTGCCTGGAGGGAGAAAGAAGGAAAAGATGGAGCCAGTACCTCTCCAGATGCCTCTGTCCCTTCTTCTTTTTTGCCTTTCTTTCTTCCACTTCCCCTGGTTGTTTATGAACTCAGCCATCACCTGTGGTAACTATGCCTGGGCAGGCCCCTCCTCAAGTAGCACTGGGCTCCACCCTAGGATGACAGAGGCTGGCTGGCACACCTAAGCCAAAGTGCTTAAGGTCAAACCTGGAACTTCAAAGCAAAGGAATCCTAAATGTACATCTCCTTTCCCATGCCCTGATCTTCTCTTCATCCCCTCAAAAGGCAAAATACACCTTTACACCTGGGATTTGTCATTAAATCTTCAAGCAGTTTTGGTTCAAACTCAGAAGATGAGGACATAAGTTCATATAACTCCTTCCCCTCCTTCAGTGTAAGAGTAAATGTATATGAAAAGGAAATAAGGAAGGATACAAATTATCTAGGTAAAGAGATCCATTAGGGTAAGTCATCCTTTTATAGTTTAAATTGGGTTTCAAAATTATAAGATCAAAGGACAATGTTACCATTACAACAGAGATTTATAAACGTTGTCCCAAATCTTCAGTATGCTGAAATTAACTTTTTTCTAAAGGGTTTTAGAAATTCAGGATTACTTATTACATACAAAGTAAACAGATTTCTCAATCTGTAATGTTAAAAATTATTGCATTAAACTAATATTCTAAATATTTTTAAGAAAGGTAGTCATGAATTAAAGATTTGAATGTCAAAGTCAAATTTTTAAAAAATTACAGGTGCCCAATCTTTTCCTGAGTTAGAAACGGTTATTTTCCCTATACTTATTAATAATAAAGGAAAATAGTATTATGACAATGGAAAAATGTCAGCGATACCACCTTACCCAAGAAATCAAAGTTTCCTAATAGATTCAATGAGAACACAGTATCATTTGATATTTCTGCCAAAAATGCAAAACCTGAGTCAAATTATAAAGAAACATTAGTCAAACTGAGGAGTATTTTACAGAATAACTGACCTGTACTCTTAAAAAGTTAAAGTCATAAGAGAAAGGCTGAAAAATGGTTAGATTTTAAAAGATTAAGAAATCATGACAATTAAATGCAGTGTGTAATCCTGGATTAAAAGTAATATTTTCGCTTTTCCTTTTAAATTTTTGCTCTATATGAAATGTGAGACAAATGGTGACATTTGGATAAAGCCTATATTGATTCGGTAAAAGTATGGTGTCAGTGTTAATTTCCTCATCTTGATCACTGCCGGAAGCCGGTCCATCCTTGCTGCTTGACACAGTCGCTGCAGGGAAGAAACATCTGCACAGCATATGTTTCAAGGGACCTGGCGTATATGGCATACTGTTCTTAATATGTTTGCTCCCCTTCTTGGCGCTGTGTGTTTTAACCAAGGTCACCTCTCCGAGAAAGGTTGTTTCCCCAGGTAGGGATTTTTCCCTGAAGTTAGGGAGGGGATAAAACCCCTTTACTAAGTGCCAGGCGGGTAGTTAATCACTTTAACTACAATCACCCTTAAGCTACATAATCTTTACTCCCTGAAATGGAGATAAGAAACACCCTAACCTTTGGAATAGAAATTGATAGGATTAAAATCAACTGGTATAAATACAGATGTAACAAGACAATAAAACACAGAACCTGGCTGGAGAACCTGGCTAGAGAACCAACTATGCTGATCATCTGAACGCTGTCTCCGTGTCATTCCTTCTTCGCCAACTCCGTCCACACCTTTGGGAACCCCTGGACCTGCTGGGGCTGGCCCCCAACAGATCACTATACTTTGGTTAAAATTCTTGTTTTTAGGAAATATACACTTGCATTTTCAAGGCTATAGGGGCATCATTGCTACAGTATGTTCTCAAATGTTTCAGATGTTAAAAATATATGTAAGAAACAGCTGTGGAAGGTATCAAAAGTCCCAAGAAAATGTACTTACCACTTTTTTTTTAATCCCCCAAATTAATTTATCTTAATTTTAAAAATTAACATAGGGGAGGGGGCGGGGCCAGCATGGTGCCGAGCGCCGGGTGAGCAGCGCTTTGGCAGTGGATCTCCCATCTCTCCACCCTGGGGCATCAACCTTCAGAGGAGGGAGGAAGAGCTCCAGAATGGCTGAGAGAAGCTGAAGCTCAGCAATACTGTGCTGCCTTCAGAGTCAATGAAGGTGGTGGCCGAATCAATGGGCATCGCCCAGATTCAGAAAGAAACCTGTCAGCTGCTGACAGATGAAGTCAGTTACCGCATCAAGGAGATTGCACAGGATGCCTTAAAATTCATGCACATGGGGAAGCGGCAGAAGCTCACCACCAGTGACATTGACTATGCACTGAAGCTAAAGAACGTTGAGCCGCTGTATGGCTTCCATGCTCAAGAGTTCATTCCTTTCCGGTTCGCCTCTGGTGGGGGCCGGGAACTCTACTTCTATGAGGAGAAGGAGGTTGACCTGAGTGACATCATCAATACCCCTCTGCCCCGGGTGCCCCTGGACGTCTGCCTCAAAGCTCATTGGTTGAGCATTGAAGGCTGCCAGCCAGCTATCCCAGAGAATCCACCTCCAGCTCCCAAAGAGCAGCAGAAGGCTGAGGCCACAGAACCCCTGAAGTCAGCAAAGCCAGGCCAGGAGGAAGATGGACCCTTGAAAAGCAAAGGTCAAGGGGCTGCTCCAGCTGATGGCAAAGGGAAAGAGAAGAAGGCACCACCCCTCCTGGAGGGGGGCCCTTTTCGATTAAAGCCCCGAAGTATCCATGAGTTGTCTGTGGAGCAGCAACTGTACTACAAGATCACTGATGCCTGTGTGGGGTCATGTGAAGCCAAGAGAGCGGAGGCCCTTCACAGCATCGCAACAGATCCAGGGCTCTATCAGATGCTGCCACGATTCAGCACCTTCATCTCAGAGGGGGTCCGTGTGAACGTGGTGCAGAACAACCTGGCCCTGCTCATCTATTTGATGCACATGGTGAAGGCACTGATGGACAACCCTACGCTATATCTAGAAAAATACGTGCATGAATTGATTCCAGCTGTGATGACCTGCATCGTGAGCAGACAGTTGTGTCTGAGGCCAGATGTGGACAATCACTGGGCACTCTGGGACTTTGCTGCCCGCCTGGTGGCCCAGATCTGCAAGCATTTCAGCACAACCACTAACAACATCCAGTCCCGGATCACCAAGACCTTCACCAAGAGCTGGGTGGATGAGAAGACTCCATGGACTATACGTTACGGCTCCATTGCAGGTCTGGCCGAGCTGGGACATGATGTGATTAAAACTCTGATTCTGCCACGGCTGCAGCAGGAGGGGGAGCGGATCCGAAGTGTCCTGGATGGCCCTGTGCTAAGCAACATTGACCGAATTGGAGCTGACCACGCGCAGAGCCTCCTCCTGAAGCACTGTGCCCCTGTTCTGGCAAAGCTGCGCCTACCACCTGACAATCAGGATGCCTATCGGGCAGAATTTGGGTCCCTTGGACCCCTCCTCTGCTCCCATGTGATCAAGGCCCGGGCTCAAGCTGCTCTGCAGGCTCAACAGGTCAACAGGACCACTCTGACCATCACTCAGCCCCGACCCACGCTGACCCTTTCTCAGGCCCCTCAACCTGGCCCTCGGACCCCTGGCTTGCTGAAAGTCCCTGGCTCCATTGCACTGCCCATCCAGACACTGGTGTCTGCACGAGCTGCTGCTCCACCTCAGCCTTCCCCTACTCCCACCAAGTTTATTGTAATGTCATCGTCCTCTAGTGCCTCATTCACCCAACAGGTCCTGTCCCTCAGTACCTCAGC